AGTTTACGCATCTCCAAAGAGGACGGAAGACTCCTCCGAGTATTTATACTATAAATGATTTTAAGATGGCCGTCACTGTTAAAGATTAGGAAAAAGTGTTTACCGTGTATTGAAAGCCATCAACAAACGTAAAATCGAAGTTTTCAGTTTTCCCTTTCTGGGGGGGGATATGAGATTCGTATCGCGCAGCCGTTATACACCCAAAGATGATATGCATTCACACAACGATGCAATTTGCCATTCATTGAGTAGTTGTATGGTTACCTAATTCATGTATAACATATCCAAAACTGTATTATAAAATAACATTTGCAGTCAGCAAAACAAGTGGGTTACGTAACCTGTTATAGTAACTGCAAAATAATTACTTTTGTTAAAAAGTTTTATTTAGATAAAAGGATTTAAGAGCAATTTATTGCTCTGTAAGTCATAAACATTTTAACAAAAGCCATTATTTTACAATTATAACTGGTTACATAACCCACTTGTTTCACTTGTTTTGCTGACTGCAAATGTTATTTTATTTACTGCTCTAAAATATTTCTATAAATTGTTAAAAATCAGTTAGAACAGAATTGCAACTGCGAGCATCAGCAGTTAACCGCTGTCTCTAAGCAAAGGGAAGGTACGTTCAAATAAGAGAGCTACTTTTATTAGCTTCGAAAGAATGTTTGGCATGTCATTTAACAACTCCCGAAAGGAATGAACCTTGCTCTGACGTGCTGGGGAAAAACACTTTATAGAAAGGGGAGCAATCTACTGATATTGTATATCGTCCGTACAATGCACGGGCGTTTTGGCCGCCTTCGCTGTGAAAAGAGTTAAAGCAACCAATCGAGTTTTCGCCCTTAGGGATTTCATGATCTGCGTTATGAACAGATCGGCTGGAATTCCCATCATAAATTGCGTTATTAGATACGTTATTTAATTACTCAGCCATTTTTCTTCGTACCGTTAAAGTTTATACGTACTTCATTTAATCTTCGCTACTCAGATATGTAAACATCTTTCTTTTATACTTAGGAAGTTTACTGAAATGAAACATGCTATGGGTATGTAATACCACATAACCCAAAAAACGAATTTCTGCTGAAAAATAAAATTTTTCCTGTTATTTTTTTCAACAATACAATGGCATGTAAGAAGGGTTTGATCCATTTTTAGATAAGACATTTAATAACGTTAAAGAAATTCATTATAAGGTTTTCAACCTTCTGACCACCTCGGGGTTTCACTAAGAAAGCATAAATTTCTCAAAACTACCATGAAAAGAAGTTATTTTCTAGATTTTAATGCTAAAATGACCCTGTCAAATCATACCTGGATTTATGCACTTTTATTATATTGCCTTAATTTCTTGACCATATTTTAAGATGCACGTATATATACGTTCTTACGGATATCACAAAATATACTCTAGGGCGTGTATATACGGCATTCTCTGTTAAAGGATTGAGCATGCTGACGGTTGAATAGAAAACCGTGTTTAAATCCTGAATTGGCTGAACTTTGTATAATTTATTATTGATCTTTAAGACTGATTTGTAAAATTAAAAAAATGAAATTCATCTCTTCGACTTCTGATATTGATTCATCTGAGGTACAATCCTCAATTTTTTTTTTTTACATTTTGATACCTATTACAAGAACCCTCCAGGTTTAAATGCACTATTATATTCTCTGAATTATTTTGAACCTCATATTTTATTAAGGAATTCTCCCTTTTAAGCTTAGATCTATTTTTATCACGTATCAAGCTCAAAAACGTAAGGCTTAATCATTAACTGACGGCTTCTTAGCAAAAACGTAACTAAATGAAAATACTTCTAATTACGGACTACTTTATTAATAATTGGAGATTTTAGTGAGAAATATCTAAAAAAGTCTACAATAAATTTTAAACTAGATCAAATTTACATCCAATAATTTTGTTGTAGGTAAACGTGTAATTTAATAATAATGATGTAATGTGAGCACAGTTAATTTTTTAGTCTGTTTCTAATTTTTAAACCAAAGCGTCCTTTCCAGAGGCATTTTGCATTTAATTAATAAACAAACTTTATTACATATGCAAACACATTTTACTTCTACCCCTTAAGCGATAGTTAAACGTGAGTAAAATATTTCATACTGTCATATAATTAATTATGTTTGCAAATTGAAATCAGAGAAGTGTATATGTACGGTTTTACTTTGAAAATCCATCTCCTATCAAAGATAATATAGATAAAATATAAGATATATATATACACGTATATAAAATATATTACATATATATATATATGTGTGTGTGTGTGTGTGTATACTTCAGTGTCTAACATAACAGTTTGGGAATGGAAATGAGGAGGCATGATTATAAAAATTTTATTTCAACATTTTAATTTTTTATTAGTCATGTGAGTTTGCATTTAATTGAAGGATGGAAAACTTTAGCTAGTTTTTTTTTAATTAATGATGAAATCAATGGTTAGCCAATAAATTGAATTAATTAATTAGTTAATTTGGAATTAATGATGACAAAAACCATCAATTGTTGAACAAATAAAACCCGCTACCTCACTATTCTAATTTCTCCTCTTTGAAAGATGATGAAAGTCTTGGAAATCAAGTCAATATTTCAAGCTTAAATATTTAAAAATGGTTCCTTCGATTAAATGTAAACAATTAAACTAACTGTAGAAAACCTTCTTTCCTTCATAATTCACTGTTATATAGTTTATTATCATGTTGCATTTTACGTGAAAAATAATATCATAACTATATTTTTAACTTGAAAACTTCCCATATGGTCAAAGGACTTTCATTTAAGCTTACCTAGCTTCTATCCAAATTTATTGCTAATACAGTGTCTCAAAAAAGTGATGAGACGCTTGTGCTTTACAAAAAGAAACTGTAATAAAATAAATTAAAAAAACATGTAAAAATTTTTGTGGGTGTGTTTCATACTTAAATTTAGTAACAATTATTACATAACATACATTTTTTCAAAATATTAAAATATTAATTTAATAAAAATACAATTGTTTAGAACGGAGCAAAAATGGCTCACATAAGTGATGGCACACTACGTACTATGCAACAAAATCGTCTGAAGTAAGCAATAAAAATATCTTTTTGGGGTATTTATTTTTACTCAAACGCAATTGGCAATAATTTATAAAATCGTCTGCAGTATTTCTCTCCAGTTTGTTTTGGAATTTTTGTGTTTTTTAGCTCTGTGCAGCTATGAATGCTAAACGAAAAGAAACTTTGCCTGAAATTCGAAAATTAGTTATTAATTTGCATATTGAACGTGGAAAATCTATTAGAGAAACAGCTGAAACAGTTAACTTGAGTCCTTCAACAGTTTTCAGTATCATTAAACGATATAAAAAGAATCATATGATCCAGGATAAAAGAAGACTTGGCCGACCATCAAAACTATCCAATGGAATAAAGAGAATTATCGTTCGAAATATTAAAAAAAATCCAAGAATAAGTGCTCCTAAAATTGCTGCTGATTTACAAGCATTATATGGAGTACTTGTTAATCCTGAGACTATTAGAAAAGTAATTCGATCTGCTGGATATCACGGTAGAGCAGCCAGGAAAAAATTCTTCGTAAGTGAAAAGAATAGAAAACTTAGACTGGCTTTCGCAAAATCCAACATAAATAAGAATTCTGATTACTGGAATGAAGTTATATTTGCTGATGAGAGTAAATTTAATATATTTAGTTCTGACGATAGAATCTTGCTGTGGAGAAAACCCAGGGAAGAATTTCGCAAACAGAACTTGGTGCCAACAGTAAAACATGGTGGAGGAGGAGTTATGGTATGGGGGTGTGTGTCGTCCGCTGGAGTTGGTAATCTTGTTTTTATTGACAGTATAATGGATCAGTACAAATATATTGACATTTTAAATCAAAATTTGAAATCTTCAGCACGAAAATTGAACCTTCATAACAATTTTAAATTCTACCAGGACAATGACCCTAAGCACACTGCTTTGAACGTTAGACTCTGGCTGCTGTATAATTGTCCTGAAATAATAAAAACACCACCACAATCTCCAGACTTAAATCCCATAGAGAATATTTGGCAAGAATTGGAATCAAGAATTCTCAAACACACCATTTCTTCAAAACAAAAATTAAAATCGGTGCTTCAAGAAGAATGGGGTAAAATCACTCCAGAAATCACAAAAAAATTATGTCAATCCATCCCAAGAAGATTAAATCATGTTTTAAAAGGAAAAGGAAATCCAACAAAATATGAAAAACCTTTTTAAAAGTAAAATTTGTGGATTTAATATTTGATGGAAAAGTAAGTCACTTACGTCCCATCACTTATGTGAGCCATTTTTTGCTCCGTACTAAACAATTGTATTTTTATTAAATTAATATTTTAATATTTTGAGAAAATGTATGTTATGTAATAATTGTTACTAAATGTAAATATGAAACACACCCACAAAATTTTTTTATTGTTTTTTAAATTTATTTTACTACAGTTTCCTTTTGTAAAGCACAAGTGTCCCATCACTTTTTTGAGACACTGTATATTCCATTCTAAAAATTTAGGAAATCTGTTACGTTACCTATGTAACTTTTACTACCAAGAAGTAATGCGTCTTCCTGTTTGTTATTGTAATTTAATACTAGATGCATAATTTAAATTAAGAAAGCAATGAGGATACTTGATTTTTAAGCAGCTTTTTCTCTAAAAAAATATGCAAAAATCAATTATTAAAAGTTTATAATCTAGAAATTCATTTTATATTAAATTTTTTTGCAAAAATTTGTAGTCTACAGGGCTTCGCACATTTGTAGCTGACTTTGCTTTGCTATAAAACAAAATCGTCTGCTTCGAAATTTGTTTAACAGCAACTACATTTTTAAACCGTATATCGTCGTCTGCTATTTGGTAATCTTATTTTTATGCAAAACGGCGCTTTTAAAAGAAGAAATAGATAAAAGGCTATGTTTGTGCTCATTCCGAAGAAAATTATTCGTATTTAATTATTAAATATGCTATGAAAGCCATGGTGTTTCGGTTATTTGCTGTTAAAAATAGGATTTTGTTTAATACCTATGCCGAGGATATTTGATTTCATTCGTCTAAGAACGAAATATATTCTATTTGATCAAGGTAAGATCATTTTTGGTTTTTACATATTGCAAACAAGTTTAATTTGAAATAAATCTTTTAAAATAATAGTTTTAATTTGCGAAATGAGCATAAAATATGATTTTGGAGACTTAATATGAATGTATGTAACAAATGGCATCCTAATGGAACTCTTGACTATGACTGCCTATATTATTTTAGAAAGAAAATAACATTCTTCATTACGCGAATCCAGTTGAATGAAATTATATAAATTAAATTACATGTTAAATCACATGACAGAAATAAAATCTCAATAAAAATTTATTTTCCTTTTTGAATTAACTACTGTTTTTATTTTCGAAGTTTCATTGATAATTATATTATCCGAGCAATTTTTATTTAAGCAATGAAAAATATTTTCATTTGCGTTTTTCAGAATTTTAACTTTACACTTATCAATGAAAGTTTTCAGAATTTGTGTGTAGATTTGGAAGTTTTGTAATTTTAGTTTTAGCTCTGTGATATTTTTAGATGTGTTTCATGATATTTTTTTACTTTAAAATGAATGTTTTGTAGGATCGTCTTCTTTGCTAACATACAACGGTAACTACATCTACAGTGGGTGACAAAAGTGTTCGTAAACGTACTACGTTCAGTAAAATATTGCTTTGCTCATTAATAAAAGTTAATGTTTTAGAATGACATATTTTAATAATATTTATAAATTTCTCTTAGAAAATCTTGATTAGTTAGTTTATGAGCGTGCTCAAACATTTTTTTTTTTTTTAAATCAATGATAAAGTAACAGAAAAGTTATTTCACAAAAGTCTTCGTACGCTTTAAGGAAATCTGCACATCTTAGTAAATATTGTAATATTTTTGTCAGTTAGTATTTTGTAGTATATATTGCAGTATTTATGACCGTCTGGACATAGAATTCACCAGTTTTTTTTTTCGTAATATCTGCATCAGTGCTCTTTCATTCTTCCATCATTACTGTTTATAGTTCGGTTTTTGTTTTAATGTTGTGTCTTCGTACTTGTGGACAATTACAGACACCCAAAAGGCGAATGTTGAGGGCCTTATGATTAGTACCGTTATCCTAACTAAAAAAGTTATTTCCAGTATCCAAATTTTGGGCGGATAATAGTATAATTTTAAATTATCTTTAAAATATTTAAATAAAAAGCATGATTCATTGCGCCATCAATAAACACTTAACTTATTTAATCCTGATGCCGACACGCACCCTCACATAAGAACACCACTGCTATGCTTTACTGTACCAACGAAAGTCTTGGAGTTAAGCTCCTCATTTTTTTTCTCAATACATAAAATATAAGGACGCAAGCAAGTAAAAAATAAAACCAAACTTTTTTTTTAAATTTTACCAAAATGCCAAAATATAAAAAAGAGTGCTGGACGGTAATTTTATTTATGAAATTTACGAAAATATTTCGATGTACTATCACTTTTATATAGTGTTTTATCTATCCCTCCGTACATTTTGAATTTTAGAAAAAAAGAAAATAAGTCAGTATTAAAAATTAAAAAGTTTGGTTTTACTGAAATCATGAAAAAATATTGGGCTTTATATTCGAATTCAGTTCCGGGTTACAGCACGTTTTCTACATATTCTTAAAGCAGAAATAAGTGTGCGGACACTTTCGTGAGACACTGCACTTAAAAGTCTATGTTGCAATTTCTCGCAAAGACGCGATGAAAAATTCACCAAGGGAAGTATGTAAAATACCCTTTTCTTGAACACAATATTTTACAGCCGGCACAGACGTACGTGCTTACACAGTCAAAAACTGCTTTGTGGTGAAGAACGCAAAAGATAATATAACAACTAAATCCGAATTGTGTAGTCATGCACTACTAAGTTAAATATTAGTGCAAGACTACACAATTCAATTTAACCTAGCAGGTTGATTCAGAAACCTACACTGGTAAAAATGCGATGCCGATATTAAAAGTTCAGCAGATGATAGAACTAACAACGTGTGCTCTCAATAGCGAAACCATGCTCCAACTAGATTTTGCGCTACTCAGTTTAAATACACTCTTGTTCACCCTAACTGATTTGTATACTGGCGAGGAAACGCGAGAGGAATAAGAAAGAAAACGCTAACAAATTACAATTGCAACCAGGTTTTTATTAATTTTTTTCATGATCTCTTTTGCTTTGTTTTTTGCTTCATTTTCTTTAGAAACCAGGTTTTAAAGTCCTTCTTGCTACTCCTAAGACCTTTTGTTAATTCACATTCTTCCACATAAGCCTGTTATTTCCCAGCTTTCCGCATAGTAAACAGTTCGCGCTTTCGTGAATTTTAAATTTGTTTAGGTAAGCCGGGATTCTACAGTGACCTGAAAGGATCTGACAAAGGTCTTTATCGGTTATGGATTTCTTTCTCCCTTCGTGGTATAACTGGAAGTCTACCCGACGCGTATTCAAGAGGTTCAGGTTCGAGTTCCGGCGAGAGCACTGCTCATGTTTCACATATCTTGCTTCCAAAAATCCCTAATGACTACAGTGGCGCCCGAACTATAGGGTGGTAAATGATGAGTCTTCACCACCAGGATCTGGCTTCTGGGTGGCCTTGAAAAGGGGAGTATATTTGCTTCCTCATTTCAGCATGCCTTCGTGGTGTAACGGATAGCACACTCGGCGCATATTCGAAGGTCTAGGTTCGAGTCCCGGCGAGGGCATTGCTCTTTTTTCATCACTCCTGCTTGAAAATAACCTAATAACTCTACAAGGAAATAAATTAAATATAATTCTTTTTTTTTATTCTTGAAATTCACTTAAATTAATTCTAATTCATTGAATTTTGGAAAAATTACAAAATGTATATTAATTATTGTTATGATATATTTAATACTTTTGTAGCGCAAACCATTTCATTTATTATCAGGACAAACTGTTATGCTTTCCCTTCTTTCAGTTTAATTTTCTTATTGCATGACTTATGTCAAAAACATTTCAATGAAAACATTCCACTGTCGTGGCAACTCATGTTCTGGACTTCAGGATCAAACACAAAACACGAAGATTATCCAAAAGCCATCCAAGAGAGAATCAGATTTAATTAATTGGTTGCTTCTGAAAGGAAAATGAACAAATTACGTTCTCAGACCTTCCGGTAGCCTTTGATGTCAGAATAATTAATTAAATATTCCGTACAACTTCCACTGCAATAATTCCATTGCGTCTCAAAGATATCTTTTGTTAGACAATATATTTATATCTCATGGTGTGAAAACTATGTTAGAGTGGAATATATTCAACTTCTTGGAAACCTACGGAAATAATTCGTATATTTAACGTTTTGGAGTTTTCAAAATTTTACGTAAAGAATAATTTAACTTTGTGAGCTAATTCGTCTTCCGAAAAACAAAACATTATCGGTTAAAATATATTACGGAAATTTTCTAACATCTTTTTCAAATGCATTGTTATATATTTTAAAAAATTTATATATTTAAGAACGAACGGTATACCCTATTTATTTAGCAAAAGTTACCTTTTAAGAAAGTGTTACAAGAAGCAAATATTCTTATTTGAAAATATGAAGGTGTCTGTGCGCTGCAGGTGGAGGTTTCTGGATAATATTAAAATAATAAACGTTCTTCATGAAATAAGAAATTTCATAGATGGTTTTGATGTTCTATATAAGCACAGAGCAGCTAATGTCATTTAATTTTGTTACTAATTCAATGTTTGTAGAGATTATTTAAATTTTCTAAGAGTTATTTTAAATTTTGAAACCTTTTCGTATAAATTCTTGTTTTCCACCGACAACTGTCTGCCAGAATAAGATTTCAGTGTCGAATTTTATGTGAATGAAGTAGAACCAGTAGTTAATGGGAAGTTCTGTCACTTCCATAGAAGAGCTCAGAAGTTAGTAGAATGTGCTCTGCCTTCGGTTCTTTGCTTTAAACCTATTCTACTACGTTCGGCCGTAGTCTTACTTGCCTGTACGTATTCGATGGTAAGGTTTAATTACGGTCTAACTCTGTAAGTTATTTTTGTGCAGATTTGGCTAAAGCTTAGCTAGTTAGCATTAGTTTAGTTTCTTATTTTCTATCTTAAGTTAAAGCCCAAGTGGAGGTTTTCCTGAAAGCCTGAGATAGGCTGTCTCTTAGTATTTCTTTGAGTGAATAAAATGGTATTTTAACAATTCTTTAGACGTATTTTATAGTTGTAAGAAGATCAGCGAATAGTGTCTAGACACTTCCCTAAATGTCTAGTAGCCAAGGGGACCTAAATTAACTAGAACTTTATTTAATCTTCCATTATGCGGAAAACTTGTTATTAATAAAATGAATATACACCCTCAATAGTAGCAAGTGAATATTCAAACGGGAATTATTGGCGAATTTAGCTGCAAGTTTTGTTGTAGCGAAGAAAGATCAAAAATATTTTTTTGCAAAAACATCGAAGCACTATGAAGGAAGTGGTTGTTTATGATGAAATTGAATATGTGTATAGCTCATACACAGATAATAAAATGATTAAAAAATCAAGGTCATAGTACCTCTTCACGGCTCACAATCGCCCATTGAGCGTTCAAATTAGTATTTGGTCGAACCGCCTCTGGCTGCAATGCTTGCTTGAATTCGTCGAAGCAAGGAGTGCTAGAGGTTCCTAATGTCATCCTGCGACACATTATGCCAAGCATTCATCAGTTGTAACTCCAGATCTGCGATATTTTGTGGTGCCCGAATCTGGCGGCCTACCATGCCACATACATGCTCGATTGGTGAAAGGTCTGGTGACCTTGCTGGCCAAGGGTGAGTATCAGCCGCACGGAGACAGTCCACAGATATACGATCGGTATGTGGCCTGGCATTTTCTTGTTGAAAAATGGCCCCAGGATGACGTGATATGAAGGGTAATGCAACCGGCCGCAGGATGGTATCAACATATCGTTGAGTTGTTAAAGATGTACGAAGGATGACTAAAGATCACCTGTCATAAGAAATAGCGTCTCAGGCCATCACACCGGTGGGTTATGGCTGTATGCCTTTGTGAA